ATTTCAAAAGTGACAAAGAAAGGAGAGGCTCACTTCCTATCTCTTGGGCAGTGACTCACACAAAGGCAGAAGTGGCACTGGGGTTCGTCTGGACTGGCATGACGTCGGCGTAGGTCTCGTCCAGAGACAGCAGCACGTTGGCAGCTTGCTGGCCTGACTCAGCGACAGCCAGCAGCCGAGGAAGGTCCCGATAGGCATCTGGACCAGCCAAAAGATCCACCACTTTCTCCCTGTTAAGGATCTCCTCCTTCAACCTCTCAGCCATGCAGCCTGGGAGGGCAAAGAAACAAGTTCCCAGATTCATCTGGTTTCATGGCTTCTTCTCATTACGAATCATCTCCAGCTTGAACTAGAGACCAGGGCACAGAAAACCTCTCTAAGAGTTTAGTATCATCCTTCCAATTTGACCAATATACTCATAGCACTGGAACCTGAATCTTTCTATACAAGAAAACCACAGGAAAAGGATTCTAGAGCAATTCAATTAAATGCTCAGAAAAAATTAAATGACCACCCAAAAACCTTTCAAGACATGAACCACCTCTTCTTTCAATTGAAAATTACTTAGCCCGAGATAAAAAAAAATACATATTTTGTGTCAGGCACTTACTTATATACAGCTACACTTATACCCTTTCTCCCTCTCTTCTAGCCCATAATATGTGTTAAAACAGGTAAGAAATGAGTTAATGGGGCCAGGTGCAGTGTGGCTCATGCCTGTAATCCTAGCACTCTGACAGGCCGAGGTGGGCCAAGCTACCAGAGGGGCTGAGGCAGGAGAATTGCTTGAGCCCAGGAGTTTGAGGTTATAATGAGCTACAATGATGCTACTGCACTCTAGCCCAGATGACAGAGTAAGATTCTGTCTTAAAAAAAAAGAATAGAGTTAACAATTTATGCTGGTATTTTCCATATTCTAAAAAAACCAGTGTGTTATTAAGGCTATAAAATTTTAAAGTCCACTTTATTACAAACACCCTTTGAAAGCATTTGCTTAAGAACCATTCTTGGTTGTATACCCATGTTCATAGCAGTATTATTCACAATAGCCAAAAGATGGAAGCAACTCAAGTGCCCATCAATGAATGAACAGATAAACCAAATGTAATATAAAAACACAATGGAGGCCGGGC